GTCCCTTTTAAGATCTAATGTCAGACAGTTTAATAAGAATCACAGAAAGAGTCGGAAAAGAGCAAAGTTTGGAGAAATCCTCAGAAACAGTTCACTTTTTTGTAGTGTTCCTAATGTCTACAGAGATCTAGCCAAACTTGCAAAGTTCTAAATGAAAAGATGTTTAACTCAGCATATCTATCAGAAATGGAAGAGAGCACCTGCATGCGCAGCCACCCAATCTAAAAAAAAAAATGGCATTCATTGAGGCATGCTGTACAAATCATTTTGGAGCAGGCATTTCCTCCACCCATGTTAAAGAAGGCAAATCTGATTTGATTCAGTTTGATGAACTTGACTTATAAAAGTCAAGTGAGAAAAGTTGCAGTGTTTTATTAAACTGACACACAAATAAAAGAAATGCTTTAGAGTTTGGGGCAATTTAGGGTTGGGGGATTTTAGTGTTAAGGTAAGTCAATATTTAGGGTTAGGCAGGTAGACTTAGCAGGACTTTGGGTTAGGAGATACCTGCATTATTCCTATCAATTGCTTTTAGTCCTCACTAAAGAGAAGAACCATTCCCCAGCTTTTGTTGCAGAGCATTTTAATCTACTGAAGGACAACACAAACCACAACCATCCACGCCATACTCTACAACTATATAGAGCACTACCAAATCTAAACGAAAAACTGAACCTTAAAGAGTTAATCCGGAGCTCAATATGGAAACATTTCAAAGAAAATGAAGATTGACAGAGCATGCATTGGTATTCCTTCTGACAGACCACATCCAAACTGCTGGTTAGTTTTTGAACTATTTGTCATGGGAGAGAGGCCATTTACTTCTTTTGTATCACGCTCTTAACAACTTTTAGTCATCTGGGGGTTCTCCTTTTCCCCTCTGCTCTCTCTTCTTGCTTTTAGATCTGAGCGTTACCTTTGATGTAACACTTTAACACCACATCAGAATATAGATCTCGCTTCAGAAGAAGAAGTGCATTTTAACAACAGCCATAGATGACATCACTTCAAACAGTAGTTCTTTTTTAATATAAATAAAAATAATATGACACAAATCAGGACCTTCAACATTCTGTTCACTTTTGCTGTGTAGCAGGGCACCAGCACGATCAACATTAATGTTTTATTAACTTATTGGCATTGCAAACACATACATATGTTTTGGTATAACAGAAGCTTATGGACTGAAAAAAACTGTCAAAAAACTCGATCACACAGGGGTTTATTTACTAAACTTGGAAATGGTAAAGAACTAACAAGGGAATTGTGAAGTTTAGGTCAACATATCCAAGCTGTAAAAAGTGAACTCAGCTATTAAAGGGTTTATTCACTAAAAGATGCATGTTGGCTTTGCAAAATATAGTCCAAAATAGCTGGTGTGGAAACATTTTCTAGCTCAGAAATAATCACAGCTTGGTTGTTTTGGCCAACGTTTTGCAATCTGGTTTTCAATTCATCAACATTCACTATTTAGTGAATAAACCTCTTTGTTCGCAATCTGAGTAAAGTGCACTGAGCAAGAATATGTGTACATGTATTTGAGCATCTCTTTAACCAATGCATCTTGGGTCATATGTCCAGTCATCATGGGTTAATAAGCCTGTTCCTAGATCAATATATTTACTGTGACATAGGTGTGGGTATAAAGTGTAGTTATATAACTTTGACAAAGTATATATGTATATATATATATATATATATATATATATATATATATTGATCTAGGAACAGGCTTATTAACCCATGAGGACTTTTGCTGTACAACCACTTTACACCCACACCTATAATACTGTCCCAGATATCATGCAGAATAATTCTCTCTGAGATGATATGACTCAGAGGAAGTATCTACCGGGGTACATTTCTAGATGGGACCATTGTACACCCTCTGCCAAACATCAATAAGCTTTTCTGTGCAGTTTAGCTCTTGAATTAGCAGTAAATGGCCTCTTTTTAGAGTTTCGTATCACATATCTCTGGCGTCAGTTAAATTCAATTTGTAATACTGTGGAGAGAATGAAAAGATACTGAGAACTTTAGGACAGTGTGCTTCATGAAATGCATAAGAATATCAGCATTAGGCTGTTCCCAGGCAAGTTTCGGGCAGCAGGAGCAATCCGGTGGATGCCAAGATATTACATCACTTCACTTAGCTCTCTGACCAAATACATGACCTCTTTTGATATTCTGTTCATACACAGAGAAAGATGCAATCTAGACAATATATATTTCATACGGACATTTCAACCATTAACACGTTATTATGTAAATAGCATGGTAGCCATAAAGTTTTATCGTTTTAATTAAAACTTAAAAATGAAGGCCACTTACTCGGAAACTTTTGAGCGAGACTGATAAGGGCGTGCTTTTTTTTCTCTCTTTTTTTCCTTATTTCAACAGTAGAAATTTTTACAAAATGGTAATGGAACTGGGTCAAAAACCAAGCACCTTACTAGTTAAGAGGTGGCTAATATTTGATACAGCAGCTTTGTCTGTAGTGCGTTTCTCATGAAGCTCATCCAGCCAAAATGTACAGATGCTTTTGATTCTTTGTGTCTTATAGAATTGGCTCTTCATAATCTCTGTGTGGTGGGCTACAAAAGCTGCAAACATATTTTACACTGATAAGAGAGTCTGTTACTGTAAAACATGGCTAAGTATCAGATTTCCTGACTTTCAGGTCCTGTCCTCCCATCCTGATTTTGTTCCCTGGTGTCCCGCTTTTTGGGGCACCAGAGAACTGTACCCAGTAAGCATATTTTTAAAGTACCATAAGCCTATTTCTAAGTGTATTGCAGAAGGGCTAGCGGACAGAACTGGCACTAATATTAGGCAGAACAGTTGACTGCCTTAAGGCACCCTAGCAAGAGGCCCAAAATCCTCTGGGCTGTGGTGGCCAAATAGCGATCACAACCTATCAGTCATTCTCAGAGAGCTTATTGGTAGATCGCGTATAGAGTGCTGACTCAAGTGCTGACAGGTGGCCACAATCTTTACAATATGTCCTGGTGCTCTCCTGAGACCAGGATATGCTCTAGGTATTTTGACTCAGACTCCACCATTCTAGCTGCACATTGAGGGATCAGAGAGAGTTGCAGCATGTCTCAGCTGTAGCCTGACACTGAATGCCAATGGCCCAAGTGCAGCCATTACTTACAGAGCTGGTTGCCCGTATCCATCTGCTGGCCACTGGCACCAGTGTAGTCTGCACAGCATCAGATACTCGGGATGCAATAGCATAATACACAGAGTCAGCCAGAGCCAGACACAGAGTCTTGAGACTGGGATGGAGGAGGAACCACTGCCACTTATAAAGATGCTGCTTTCTGTGCTGCACTGTAATGTGGCATGGATGGACATATTAAAAAGTGGGCAATGTTGTGGGCATAATAAAATGGAGACAAACTGATAATTATGCAGGCAATGTGACACTGATGAGGTTTCTCCTGCCATCAGTTAAATTTCTTTTTTTGATAAGTCATAGTTTGTCGCCATTGTTTGCAATTTAGTCAAATGCACTTTGAATAAGCCTCAGAGTGCCGTGTTTCCTCTGACTTGTAAAGTATAAATATGGCACTTTCTGCCTCTGAATATGTGCATCTATTTATATATCAATTTTTTTTTTCCGGTGTTGTATGATTTAGTGGTGGGAATTATTAGGTCCCCCCAAATATTTTGTTACTAGAGTCGCCAGTGCTCACAATTGTCCCTATTTAGTGCACAAATCCCTCTGTCCCTCTTTTCTATCCTAATGTCCCTCTTTCCTGGGAACTTCATATTGAAATTCATACGGCCTGTTTATGAAGATCTGGTAACAAAATCATCAACACTGCAGCTGGAGTCTGAGAGGCTTGTTCATGTATAGTAGCATTGAAAACAAGTATAACATATGCAAATTCATATGTAGTCCACATTTACCATACCCAACCACCTCTAAGCTCAGGCAGCTGGAATGAGAGACACATGGTCTTCACCTTTAAAGGATTATTCCAAGCACCATAACCACTTTGGTAATTTGAAGTCTGCATGAGCAGTTTTCCAACATGTAACACTGCACATACAGAGGTAAAACCCTTTTCTGCCAAGGAGCAACATCACTAGTCAGTACAGAACAAGAGAGTTCCGGACTTGCTAATGTTGGCATAGAATGTTGGTGACAGATGGTTAATGGCAGCTTGGCCCACCCCATGGCGCTAAAGCTCTCCCCTAGCCTGTCCTCCCTATTATCCCTCCCCCTGGGGTAACAACAATGGAGAAGGATTGGGCTGCAGGAAGAACTTAGCCTTGGTGCTGAATAAATGATAAGTTTATGTCAGTAAAAGTTACTCTGGGACTATTCCAGTAAAAGTTACTCTGGCCAAAATCAGCGTTTCACTAAAACCCCTCTCTAAATTGACACTCAGAGGTCATTCCCATCTCTTTACTCTAACACTGAATAAAAGACCATCAATAATACATATTTAGGGTATGCAATGCCGTAGCCTACATTTCAGCAACATTATACCTGGCCAAATATGCTTGGTCGAATCAAACTGAACAACCACAAAATCCCTGAACTTTGTTATTATTTTTAACCTGTCACAATTGGTTCTTTTTCAGTAATAGTATACACAAAAAGCAGTTTACATTATAAAAAAAAACACATTTTAATAAATATCTTATCTTTATTTAAATATTTTTTGTGAAACACGTTGGAGCCAGCACATCAATATTTATACAGTTATGTGTAAAAAACCTAATCTGGGATTACTTCAAAATTCAGTCTCTAGGGAGGAAGTGGCTGACCAAGTGACTGCATATACGTGTTTTAGTGTTTCTCTGCATTTAGAGATTTTATTTATTTCATACCAATCCCACGAGCCATGGAACCCTCTCCACATTCTCACTGCCCCAGAGATTTACCCACCGGAGCCTCCTAAACTGCCAGATATTAGGCTCTCATTCAAGCGGCCTTCACCACAAATACTTTCCAAGTTGGCGTCTGCCGGAGGTCCGTGGAGGAAGCCTCGGAGGAATCCCTGGAAGATGAGGAGCTTATTGCCTCTCCCCGACAGAGTGAAGCTTACCAGGATGCTGATTCAGAAGATTCTACCTCAATGAAGGTGGATATAAAATGTCTACACCTGGATCTGCACAGAGTATGGAAGGCTGACAAGAGTCCCAGAGACCCAGCAGGAGACAGGAGCAACAGCAGAGGAGTGGAAGAGAGAGAAAAAGCCCAAGATGATCAACTGCAGACCACCAAGGCACACATGGAGGGACTTACTCAACAGCCTGACACTGGATGCCAATGGCCCTAGTGTAGCCCTTACTTACAGAGCTGGATGCCTGTATCCATCTGCTGGCCACCAGCACCAGTGTAGTCTGCACAGCATAGGTCCAGATAATGCACTGAACGTTGGAATACCAGCATAGGCATTTCAATGACTGCCTGAGGGGAATGCTGAAAGGGGGAAAACGGGAAAGCATTATTGCCCTACACTGGTCACATCAATAGGTCTAAAAGGAGGATTAGACTGCTGCATACAACTTACAGCATTCTGTGTGTGCAAGGCTGTGACAGCCCCGGCGGCAGTCCCCAGGGACACAATTACTGTCACCAGAGCTATATCAGTGCGATCTACCATCATGCCTCCATCCAGAGAGTTTGGTGGCATGAAGTTTGAGGGTGCCTCGGTGACATTCTTAAGAGACATCCCATTCGCTGTGCTGATGGAAACGCATAAATTGGCTCCAGTGGCTAAAACGTTGAGGGATTACTCGGTCCAATACCACTTGGGAGCCGAAGGTGCTCTGATTGTCCCACTAGGAGCCAAGACTATTACTTTATCCTCGGATCAGGACCCTAAGGCATTTTTCCAGAGTCTGAACCTACAAGACACACATGCAGGAGGAGGAGGGCAGAAGAATATCTGAGAAGTGGCACACAGAGACTCTGGGGAAGGCACCTCGCTGACCCAGTCCAAGCCCACCAAGGTCATAGTTCCTAGGTTCTTATCTCATATGAAAGGCTTGTTGCAATTAAACCATAATACCACCGTTCATCCAACCATCATTTATGTCCTAACCCAACTGCTGTTTATGCTGTGGCAATATATTTCTAAGATGGGTATATAAGGCAACTCTACACAATTATTTACCGTATATACTCGAGTATAAGCCGAGTTTTTCAGCACATTTTTTGTGCTGAAAAACCCCAACTCGGCTTATACTCGAGTCAGTCTGTATTATGGCAATTTACATTGCCATAATACAGACTGGGGGCGGGCAGAGCTGTTACTTACCTCTCCTGCAGCTCCTGCCAGCTCTCTCCTCCTCCGCGCCGTTCCGGTCAGCACCTCGGTCAGCTCCCAGTGTAAGTCTCGCGAGAGCCGCGGGGTCATAGTGCGGCTCTCGCGAGACTTACAGTGTGAGCTGAGAGAGGAGCTGCACGGACCGGCGCAGAGGAGGAGAGAGCTGGCAGGAGCTGCAGGAGAGGTAAGTAACAGCTCTGACAGCCCCCCTCCTCCCCCCACTGAACTGCCAATGCCACTGGACCACCAGGGAAGGAGAGCCCCCCTCCCTGCCATGTATCAAGCAGGGAGGGGGGACGAAAAATAAATACATTAATAATATATAAATAATAATAAAAAAAATAATAAAAAAAAATAATATAACAAAAAAATGAAAATAATACCAATTAATAATATATAAATATAAATAATAATAAAAAAATAATTAAAAAAATAATATAACCAAAAAAATTATTTTTATTTATAAAAATGCCCACCCCCCACCAAGGCTCTGCAACACAAACACACACTGCATCACACACACACAAACACTGCATTCATACACACACTGCATTCATATACACACACACTGCATTCATACAAACACACTGCACTTATACACACACTGCGCACTCATACACACACACTGCATTCATCATATACACACACTGTAAATAAATATTCAATTAATATAATTTTTTTAGGATCTAATTTTATTTAGAAATTTACCAGAAGCTGCTGCATTTCCCACCCTAGTCTTATACTCGAGTCAATAAGTTTTCCCAGTTTTTTGGGGTAAAATTAGGGGCCTCGGCTTATATTCGGGTCGGCTTATATTCGAGTATATACGGTACCTTATGCTTATTGCTTCTGCACCTACAGTCTATTTATCATGTGGTATTCCATGCTGTTTATTTTTTATTTTTTTTCCTTTATACACTAATGTGAATGTATTCTATCATAAACAAAACTCAATAAAGTACAAATTTGAAAAAATACAATAATAAAATACAGTCTCTATATTGTGGTCATAATCAACTAGCTAAAAAGATGTGCAGAGGTCTACATAGAATAATACACCACTGGAACACTGCTGTGAAGAAGGAGGGTAAAAATAATAATAATAATAATAGAAAAATTAAAAAACAACAAACATTATCTCTTTCCTTATCTCTCTTTCACATACACACACAGTCTCTCTCTCTCCCGATCTGTTTACTTCCTAAAATAAAACACGGATCAAGACAAGTCAAGGTGCTCTTGACAGCCATGGGGACACCGGCAGAGTAATACCAACTGCCAGCACACTGAGCGGTCAGGTCCTGTCCTTGTAAGTTCTATCTAAATTACAGTACCAAATGTTTGCTTTATTTTCATAAAAACTTAACAAAAACTGATTTTACTAGGAGAAAAAATGTTTACCAAAAAAATAGCTACTAAATTTCAGAACAACCATAATCTGAACATCTTGAAGAATCTATTTACAGATGTATGTTTTGCAAAAGAGAGGATCATGATTCAAAAGCATATTTCAAAGGCAGTTGTTTAGAAAGTGCGTTTGTTTTATTTCATTGAGCAATTGAAAAATTATAAATCTTTCAGTCGAAACTTTCACTCATAATAAATTATTCTGCTAACAGGCAACTGCAAGAATACTCATGTATTATTTATTTTCCTCAAATAAACAATACATTCGTCAGCCTGATAGCGAGAAACTGCATGAAGAACGATCATCATTTTTCTTAAAGTGAAATTATATCACAAATTTAGGTTAAAGTATCTAAAACTCATTGACAACTATGACTTATTGTCAGCTAATCTTTGATGTCTATAGCTATATTTTCTAGATATATTAGCAACAGTATCCAAAGTTTTTCTACAGTGTGAAACAATTTTGGTTTGTTTTTGGACCCCTTGTTAAGTAGCTGTGTTGGTGGGTACTGAGAATCAATTTATGGAGATATAATCTCTCTAGGGCAGTGGTATAGAACCCCATCCTCAAGGCCCACCTTTGGTCCTGGTTTTGTCAGTATACCGAATGGAACAAGATCGGAATTACCTAAAACCTGGACTTTTGGTGTGCCTAGAGAACTGAGTTGGCAACAACTGCTCTAAAGATAATGATTTGAAGTCAGTAAA